AAAAAAAGTAGGCTGCATGCCCAGTGTGGAGCCCAATGCAGGGCTTGAACTAACAACCCTGAGATCAAGACCAAGCTGAGATCAAGAGTTAGATGCCTGACTGAGCCACCCAGGTGCCCTGATAATTCATATTTCTTTCTTTTTTTTTTTTTAGATTTTATTTGTCAGAGAGAGAGAGAGAGCAAGCACAAGCAGGGGAAGTGGCAGGCAGAGGGAGAAGCAGGCTTCCTGCTGTGCAGGGAGCCCAATGCGAGAGTCGATCCCAGGACCCTGGGGTCATGACCTGAGCCGAAAGCAGACGCTTAACGACTGAGCCACCCAGGCGCCCCTCCAATATGATTAATGTCCTTATAAAAAGAGAAGAATAGAAACATAGGCAAGATGGCCCTGTGAGCATGGCAGTGTTGGAGAGACTGGAGGGATGCATCTATAAGTCAAGGGACACCGAGAATTGCTGGACCGACCACGAGCTGAAAAAGTCAAGGAAGGATCCTTCCCCTGAACTTCCAGGGCCCAGCCTGGCTTTGCTGACACTGGATTTTAGACTTCTGGCTTTCAGAACAGTGAGAGAATACATTTCTGTTGTTTTAAGCCCCCTGGTTTGTGGTACTTTGTTATGGTAGCCCTGGGAAACGAATACCAGGGTGGTCTGAAACTTGCTTTTCACTCAAAGATGGGTCAAGTATGTTTTCCTAAGCCAATCGGCGGGTTCCTTTTCACGGGGCCTATTGGAGTCTGATGTTCACGATACCCTCCCACCTCTGCCCTGCCCTCTTTGTCACAAGCCTCCTGGGTCCCTCTGGTGTCTGCCCTTCCTCGGTGGTACTTGGAGAGATTCGTTAACTCAAGTCGAAGCAATACAAGTAGTCAGTGACGCTGGGCTACCAAATACACTTTATGATTTAGCAGTTCCTGTAAGTCGATTATGCTTTTACCTACACCTACATACCCACTCAGCCACAATTCTGAAACCCAAAAAGCTCTCAAAAGGAAACATTTCTTCTTACCTCCTTTGATGGCAAACCTCACCTGAACTGAGGTGAGGACGTCTGTGGCACGTACATTATTCCATTTACTGTGAATATCATGTTTTCACTGCATAAATATCAGTGTTTGTGTCAGTCGGCCAGGGTCCCAAGAATGAAGTCACATAGACTGGAGACTTGAACAACAGAAATTTGTTTTTCATGGTTCTGGAGGCTGGAAGTCCAAGATCATTATGTGGGTAGGGTTGGTGTCTTTCTGAGACCTCTCTCCTGGCAGTGTGGACAACCGTCTTCTCTCTATGTCCTCACATGGTCGTTCCTCTGTGCACCCTAATCTCCCTTTAAAATAAGGATTGAGGGGCACCTGGGTGGCTCAATCGGTGAAGCCTCTGCATTCAGCTCAGGTCATGATCCCGGGGTCCTGGGATCAAGCCTGGTGTCAGGCTCGCTGCTCTGCGGGGAGTCTGCTTCTCCCTCTGCCCCTGCCCCTTCACCCCGTTTGTGCTCTATCACTCACTCTCTCAAATAAATAAATAAATAAATAAATAAATAAATAAATAAATAAAATCTCTAAAAATAAAATAAAATAAGGATTGGATTAAAGCCCACCCATATGACCTCATTTTACCTTAATGATCTTGTTAAACACCCCATCTCCAAATACATCCATATTCTGAGGTCCTGGGGGTGAGGACTTGAACACACCAATTTTGGGGAACACAGTTCAGCTCATAGCAGTGTTTAATCACAGGTGCTGTCCCAGATCCAATGCAGGGAGCTCCTTGACACAGGACATGTAGATCTAAAGATCTAAAGAAGTCTGAGGTCTGGGGCACCTGTTTGGCCCCAGACTCTGTGGAAGGACCTCTATTACAAACAGATCCTGAGGGCATCTAGGGTGTGAAGTGGGTCATCTCTGACCGCTAGGGTCCAGATGAGGTAATCTGTTAGAAGTGACCTGGTCAGGGATGTGCCGTGAGCCACCCACACTCCTGAAATTTCCCATAGCTGGGGTGCTGCTCCACCCACAGCCCAGGCAGGAGTTTGTGGCTTTCTAGAGTCCAGCATCTTCTGCTTGGCCACACCCACTTCTGTCCCCTGCTCCTGGCCAGGGCAGCTGAGGGGCCCCTTGGACTCAGCAGACCCACAAGTGCTCACTGCCATCATCTCCCCCACCCTTCATGGGCCTGGAACTAGCATCAGCAGCCACCCAGGTGCCTCAATTTCCAGAGGAGAGCGTCCTGTAGCCTCTCTACTCAGCCACCCTTCAACTTCTTCAAGATGAGCAGCTCCTTAAGAAGGCTACAACTGATAGACCATCCTGTGTGCAGCTGGGGCCTTCACCTGGTCCCATCTTGGGAAGGACCACTAGCCAGAGATATCAGTAGCCAGGGGCCTGGGTGCTAGTCCTGGGTGACACTGGCAGAGGGATTTCAGCAATCCAAATCATAGTTCCCATCAGTGAAGTGGAGTCAAGAACCCAGACCACGCAGCATGCCGGAGGCTTCCAGATCACATCTGTCAGGTGCCCAGGACAGAGCCGGGCACACACAGGAATGGCAATGAGGGGACATGGGAAGGGCCCCTAAAGGTTCCTCCGATGACAAGGGACAGTCCGGTTCCATGGCATCATCGGTCCCATGAGGCTTGGAGCCCATACAGTGGAAGGTGCTGGGAATCCTCTTCAGGCTCCTGCTCCCACCCCAGGTCCCCTCCTAGGAGAGCATCACATGACACCGGACACCTGGGCCGTTTCTGACACAGCCCATGGTGGGCCACCCAGGAGCCCTGTAGTGAGAGCAGAAAGAAATACCCAGCAGATCCTGCCCCTGCTCTCAGCACCCAGCCTGTCAGGGCTCAGGCCTCAGGGTGCCTGCTCTTCCCACAGCTCCTGCCCTGGGGGTAACCTTTCCACAGCCTTCCTGAATGGGCCCCAGAGCCCCATGCCACCCATGGGCTCTGATGGGCCCATGTCCACGCAGTGACCCCCCCGCACCCCATGATTAGGCACACAGTAAGCCAGCCCGTCACACTGGTGGCCTGGGCGAGAGGGGGCGGGGCCTGCATGGCAGGTGCATTTGCTGTCACGCTGGGTATTTCACTCTGCCTTATGGGAGCTTCCTGATGACTCCACACAGGCAGGAGGAGTGTGAGTGTGCGTGCAGACATCACCCAGGTAGGAGAATAGGAGAGGCCGGCTCTAGTGCCCCAGGAGAACATGTGGGTCTGTGAAATGCAATTTTTATTTAAACAACAACAAAACCCCCAATCTGAACATTTTCTGCATTAGCCTATCGGGTGGGCAGCTGGTCTTCCCTCATCCCTCCATGCTGCTTTTCCATGTCCTGGGTCCTGTTCCTTTTCCTGGGGCCCCTGGGGTCTCTCTGAAGCCACAGAGTCGGCCAAGGGCTCACTGCTACGAAAGTGGATGAAGAACGTCCGGATTTCCTTCGGGTAGATGGTGACCTTGGTGCCTTGCAGGGGTGTCGAGTGAGAGCTGGAGCTGCCTAAGGGAACAGAGATGGACTGTCCTTAGAACCACCTACTTCCCCAGGGCATTTACACCCAGCATCCCCCTCATACACAGCACCAACCTACACTCTACTGTGGCTCTTTGATGAAGGTCCTTGGCTGCCCCCGTCCTGCCAGGACCCCACTGTCCTGGGCCCCTTGCATTTTGGCCCTCCCATGAGCATAATATATAGGTGGTCCCGGCCATACATGGCCTCCTTTCCCATGGGGTGTAGCACTGAATGCCTAGAGCTTTTTCACTGAAGCCATCTGGTGGGCCTGCTCTTTATATTACTGGGTTCCACTAAATTCAACCTTGAGAAGGAAACCTCTTCATCCATTCATCCACCCACCCACCCATCCATCCATCCATGATCAATTAGTCCATTGATCCATCATCCTTCCTTTCAGTCATTCAAACACTCTTACTTCCATTGATCCATCCATCCATCCACTCATCCATCCATCCACCCATCCATCTACCCATTCATTCATCATCCATTCATCATCTTGCAGAGAGAAATACACATATACACATCTACCCATCCATTCATCCATCCATCTACCCATCTGTTCATCTATCATCTACCCATCATTCATCATGTACCTACCAATCCATCTATCCATTCATCATCCATCACCTATCCATCCATCCATCCATCCACCCAACCATCCATGATCCATTAGTCCATCCATGAAACCATCCTTCCTTTCAACCATTCAAACACTCCATACTTCCATAGACCCATCCATCCATTCATCCACTCATCCATCAATACATCTATCCATCCATCCATCCATCCATCCAACCATCCATCATCCACCCATCCATCCACCCATCCATCCATCTTTTCATCACTACATCCAACCATCCATTCATCATTACATCCAACCATCCATTCCCAAATGACTCAGTGTCCAGCTATGTAGATGGCACTCTGCTGTGTGCAGTGGACAGAGGAGATGCATGGGAAGGAGGAAATAGGGGGAGAGGAGAACAGAGGAGGAACCTGACCCAGCCCTGGACTCGGCAGAAGCTTAAGAAGGGGTGGGCCAGAGGGAAGAGGACAAGGGTGATGCAGGCAGAGGGAACAGCATGGGAAAGACTGGGAGGCATGAAGCTGCCTGTGGTTCCCAGGAGCTGATGGTGGTGTGTGCAGTGTGAGGCACAGCATGGCAGATGTCAGAACCCCCAGGGATATGCTTGCCAGTTCAGGACTCACCCAGGACAGAGGCAGGGGTGTGGTCTGCAGAAACACACAGGCATGCGCGCACACACACTGACCTGTGGTAGATTCAGGACGATACAGAATCAGAGAAGCAAAGTGGCCTGCTCAAGGTCACACAGGCCATAAGGGGCAGAGCTGGGATCTAAGCAAGGTCTGGCCAGCTCCTGAGTGAGACGGGGGGCAGGCTGGTATTCCCAGGCTCGGCCTGAACCAGGGGCTCCCAAACCTCTGCGGTGGGGACGATCTTGTGTCCTCCAGCTCCAGCTCCAGCGGTGCAGCGTGCTCACACCCCAGGTCCCTGTGAGCGAGCGCTCCTCCACCGCCACCACGGACCCCAGCCCCCGCAGCACGACCTGAGGGACAGGAGCACAGGGAGGGTGAGCTACCCCCGAGGCCCCAGATCAGAGCAGAGGCAAAGCAGGAGCAGGCGCGGCACCCACACCCCCCGCACAGCACACCTCCTCATGAATTCTTACAGCAAATCCCCAGAGGGAACTGTGTCCCCATTTTATAGATGAGGACACTGAGGCCAGCACCAGCATGCTTCCCCAGGTAGTGCGCTGGACGAGCATACCCGGGGGAGGCAGGCTCAGGAGCTGCCTCCAACATCCAGACCCTTCTCCCCGGTATGGCTCAGGGGGCGGCCCGGGGACGAGGCCAGGAGTAGCTATCCATCCCCTGTGCCAAGTAAGCAGGGACCCAGCTTCCTGTGTGGGCAGGGAGGCCGGTGGCCCATTCTGGCCTGAAAAGGAAGGGCGGGCTGGCCGGGAGGTGGGACGCTTCTGGAGAAGCTTCCCTGCACCCACAGAAGGAGAAAGCACTTGGGGGCAAGACCCCTCTGCTGCGGCCTTCCCCGCTTCTGCAGATCCAGCTGCTTGTGAGGCCTCTGCCTGCTGGTGACCACAGGGAACGAGCCACAGAGAAACAGCCAGCACGCTACGAGGCCGGCAGCGGGACAAAGTGACCCAGGGAGGGACCAGAAGGAGAAGAGGCAAGAACCCAGGGAGAGGCGGGTGGGGTGCCCCGCGCCCCCACACAGCACCCAGTCCAGGGAGAGCGAGAGTGCCTGCAGGCATCTCTCTGCCGAGGTCTTTGCCAGAGGGGATTATCACACTGCGGTTTGCCTCCCTGCTGGGGCTTCAGGCCACGGCCAGGGAGGCCTGTCCCAGGGGTCTGAGGGCACTTACCTCCAGGTTCACACGCACGGGCTGAGACAGGACCGGGTCCTCCCCCACCTCATACAGGTGGTGGAGCCTCAGCAGGACACGGCGGAGGTCCGCCTTGGCCTTCCCTCGGTGGCCTTCAGGGACAGAAGGACCCCCATCAGCCCCAGTCGTCTAGTCTGGGCCCAGCACTCGACCCCTGCCCTTCACTTTGTACCCTCAGCCTCCCTGGGAGGCAGTAGACACCATCCCTGCTTGATGGACAAGGAAACAAGGCTCAGAGAGGTACAGTCACTTGCCCAAAGACACAGCTGGTGGGCACCAGAGGGAGGATTCCGGCCCAGATCTGGCAGCCTCTGAGGCCTCCTGCCACACCCACAGGGGCGATGCTGAGGGCGCCTGCAAGTCTCCATCCTCCCCTTGTCTGCTGCTCGGGTCCTCACTGGACCTGTCCTTAAATGGCCCAGTACTCTGCAGGACCCCCCTTCCCTGCCCC